AGGAGGGCCAGGGAGGTAAAATAAACTAGGTCCAAGTAACCTACAAATGTTAGGAAAAATGACAGCATCAGAAAGCTGAGATAGCAGAGAACACTGGCACACAATACTGGTTCTTGAAAGAAATAGTATAATCTGTAAGGCTTCTCAGTGTTAGAAATGCTGAAGAGTGGGCACTCAGCCCAGTGGTTAAGATGTCACTTGGGATGCCCCCATCCCATTTTGAGAGCTTGGATTCAACTGCTGACTCTGGTTCTGATTTCATCTTCCTGATAATGTACACCTTGGGAGGCAGCAGGTGATGGGCTCAAGGACTTTGGTTTCTGCCACCCATATGGGAGACCTAGATTAAGATCCTGACTCCTGGCTTTGAAGCCTAGCCCAAACCCTGTCTGTTGCACATACTTGGGGATGGAATATCTGTCTCTTTGTCTCAATTTCTTTCTGTTTCTCTGCCTCTAAAACAAATAAGAAAAAAAATTAAAAATACTGCATGTGAAGCAATCTTAAAATTCAGACACTGACAGTATGAGGAGTTGGTCACTGGAATTGGTATGGGCTTTCTGGGCCCTGGAGGTAGAAAAGAAAGTCAACACAGGTTGTGATGCTAAGTCGCTTAGATACTAAATGAAATGTCCTTATATTTCCTTTGTTCAGGTGTGGGCTTCATCATAGGCCCTTGCATAGAAGAAAGCTTTGGCAAACTATAGAAAAAAATGTCCAAGTCAATTTTGGCTGAAATTTAAATATTAGCCAGAGAATATGTTGGCTTTAGATCAACAAATGAAAATATGTAATGGGATTATAAAGTTGGATTTTGGATTATTGGAAAAGGCATGAAGTCTTGCCGACTCTGAAAGGCTGTATGGTAATAATGTGTATTTTGAGCACAATCTGCCTTCCCTTTCTATGTCTTTTCCGTATATACTTTCATAGTTCATAGTGTCAATGTTTGGGGAGAAAATAGGATCTTCATTTTAAAACAAAGTACAGTGGAACTTGACCTAAGAATGTTTGGAAATGAAGAAGTACAAACGAGTCTATATAGCTCCTTTCCCTTCATGGTGTGCACATTCATGATGTGGACAGGTGAACAGTATTTTCAGGAAGGGTTAACATTGTTTTTACATTTCCCCAAAGTGTACCTTGGGGAAACCTACAAAAAATATTAAAGAATAAAACTTTTTATTTATTTATTTGACAGAGTTAACAGACAGTGAGAGGCAGAGAGAAAGGTCTTCCTTCCATTGGTTCACTCCCCAAATGGCCACTACGGCCAGAGCTACACCGATCTGAAGCCAGGAGCCAGGTGCTTCCTCCTGGTCTCTCATGTGGGTGTAGAGCCCCAAGCACTTGGGCCATCCTCCACTGCCCTCCTGGGCCACAGTAGAGAGCTGGACTGGAAGGGGAGCAACTGGGACTAGAACCCAGAGCCCATATGGGATGCTGGCGCTGCAGGTGGAGGATTAACCAAGTGAGCCACGGCGTCAGCCCACTGAAGAATAGAACTTTAATCAAAATGTCTAACAACTGTGTTCATATCTACTATAATTTATTGCACATTTTATGGAACACTGTAAAAACTTATTTCCAAAGTTTTATAAATTCTTAAAAATAACTAATCTGAAGTTTTCATAACATTTTATATTTTAGGTGATAATGGCTAATTCTTCATTTTGGCTGCCAGGGACTCTGAAGTCCAAATTTTATGTATTTACATGAATTGTTGGGTCAAACCAATAAAATGCCTTTTGCCCATTAAATTAATCTGCATGGTATTTAAATCTTCAGTTGCTCTACTGTTCTTATTTTCTTATTAAGTCATATATATGTGCATGTACACACACACACTTGCATACATAAACACTGATTCCCAAAACCCTACAGAAAGGCCAATAACCAAATATATGTGTAATTTCCATTATCCTTAAACTGCAATATTCCTAGCGTGCTTTCTTAGTCAGTTCTTTATCTCTCTCTTTTTTTTACTTGACAGAGTTAGACAGTGAGGGAGAGAGACAGAGAAAGGTCTTCCTTCCGTTGGTTCACCCCGCAAATGGCTGCTACAGCCAGAGCTACACCAATCTGAAGCTAGGAGCCAGGTACTTCTTCCTGGTCTCCCACGTGGGTGCAGGTGCCTAAGCTGGACTTCTAGCTGGACTAGAAGAGCAGCAAGCAGGACTAGAACCCAGTGCCCATATGGGATGCCAGCACTGATGGTGGAGGATTAACCAAGTGAGCCATGGCGCCAGCCCCAATTCTTTACGTCTTGACCACTTCTGCGTTCAGGTAACTCTTGTTCATCTTTGTACCTTTAAATTTTACTAATGCTTGAAGACTTTCATGTAAGTGGAATTCAACAGCATGTACTCTTATGTGTCTGATCTCTTTCAATTGGCATAGTTAAAAACATGTATACATTATTTGTTGCATGTATTAGTAGCTTGCTCCCTTTTATAGCTGTAGGATATTCTGTTGTATGAATATATGTAGATAAATCATTTTTTGTTTATTCATTTACTTTTAGTGGACATTTGGATTGTTTCCAAGTGTTTGTTTCTATGGCATTTCTATTAATAGGTACACATACACAGAATTTATAGAAATATTTTATCATTTTTATAGTGTAGACTCTTCTGATCCAAGACAATTATATATTTATTTATTTAGGTGTCCTTTAAATTCTCCAAAGAAGGTTTTGCAGTTTTTAGTGCATAGGTCTTAAACATATTATGTTAAATTCATCATGCTTTTGACGTTCCTATAGATGATATATGTGTGTAGATATGACAATTTAATCTTTCACTGTTAACGTGAAAGTTAATGTGTAGGTTTTACTCAGAAACTCTCTTTAAGCTAAGAAGGTTCTCTATTCTTTTCTTGTTTGGTATCTTTAATTAAGAATGGATATTGAATTTTGCCAATTTATGTTTTTTGTCTATGGGTATGCTTATTTTTTCTTTTGTTCTGTTAATATATTAAATTGCATTGCTTGAATTTCGAATGAGTTAATAGATATATTAGTAGATTTGATTTGCCTATGATATTTTGTTAAGGACTTTTACATTGATGTTCAATGGTGTTGATCTAGTTTTCTTTTCTGGTAAGATGATTGTCTGGTTTTTCTAATGGACAATACTGGCCTGATAAAATAAGTTATTGGGCTTCCTACTTTCTCTATATTTTGAAATATTTTTATTGAATTTGTAGTATTTCCTCTTTTAGTATTTGAGAGTACTCACTAGGTTTCTGAGCATGGAGTTTATTTGTTACAAGGTCTTTAATTAAAATGTAATTTCTTTACCAGATATGGAGCTATTGTTGTCTTCTACTTCATAAGTACTTTTAATTATTTGTCTTCAAGTGAATTTATACAGTTTATTAAGATTGCATTTTTTAAAAAAACTTTAAAAATTTATTTTTTATTTGAAAGCACAATGAAAAAGTTAGAGACAGAGACAGACAGGCCACTCTCTTAATGGCCACCAAAACTGGGGCTGGGCCAGGACAAATTCAGGATCTGAAAACTCAGTTCAAGCACACCACACAGAGCCAACACTGCTGTCTCCCAGCACTCATACAGCAGGAAGCAGGACCTAGAAGATGAAATTGAGTATCAAACTAAAGTATGCTGATATGGTACATGAGTGTCCTAGCTTCTAGGACAAATTTTTCCCACTGAACCTTCTTTTTAATGTAAGTATTTAAAATCATAAATTCCCCTGTCAACACTGTCTTAATTGAATTTCATTAATTTTCATATGCTATATTTTTATCTCCATTCAGTTCAATATATTTTCTGATTTTCGTTTTATATAATCTTTTAGACTTTATAAATATTGTTTAATGTTTATATATTTATAGGCTTTCCAGATATATATTTGGTATTTACTATTATTTTAATTCTACTTTGGATTGAAAACATCATGTGATTTCAATTCTTTTAAATTTATTGTGGGGCTGGCACTGTGGCATAGCAGGTAAAGCTGCCACCTGCAGTGCCGGCATCCCATATAGGCACCAGTTCAAGTCCAGGCTGCTCTATTTCCAATCCAGCTCTCTGCTACAGCCAGTGGAAGATGGCCCACGTCCTTGGGCCCATGTACCCACATTGGAAACCCACAAGAAGCTCCTAGCTCCTGGCTTCATACAGGCCCAGCTCCAGCCTTTGTGGCCATTTGGGGTGTGAACAAGCAGATGGAAGACCTCTCTTTTTGTATCTGCCTCTCTGTGACTGTGCCTTTCATGTAAATAAATAAATCTTAAAAAATTATTGTGACTTATTTCATGGTTTGTCATTTTATCTAACTTGGTGACTATTTGATGTGTTCTGCTTTGGTTGGGTAGAGTGTTCTATAAAAATTGATTAATTCAAGATGATTGGTAGTGCTAAGAATTATATATTTCCATTGATTTTTCAGTTTACTTTTCTATCAATTACTGAGCCATGGAGTATAAATATTCAACAAAAATTGAGGATTTTCTATTTCCTTTTCCATTTCTGTCACTTTTTGAATCATGTAGTTCAAAGCTCTGTTATTTTATAGCTCCTTGGTGATGTGGCATTAGTCTCCATAGAGACATGTCTTAACCAAACCACAAAAATCTCCACAGGATATATCTTATAACTTAGATATCACTTTAATGGTGCTAAATGATTTTTAGCAAGTTCAATAACAGCAGTTTTCGTTTTTCACTATGTCTTTATGTTTATAGAACAGTAAATACATTAAGCTTTACAGAGTTTATCCCTGATATGTGTACATTGTTTACCCATCACAGCTGTTCTATGAAGTATTGTTTAAGTCAATGATTTGAGAAATCTATTTACTTATACAACAAATCAGTATTGTCACAAAGCACCTTCATTGTGTTCAGTGTGTTGGCTTAGGTCATATCTAAAGATAGAAAGGACAGTACAGATTATTGAAGCCAAATTTTGAAAGAAAAAAAAGAGAAGAAAGAGAGTGGTTATAAATAAAATTCAGTACCTTAATTTTTAGGTTGTATACAGCAGCTGGATATTTGGAGCTACTGATGAGATCACCCTAGCATTGATGTGCAGAAGGGACCACACTTCCAGATAAATGATTTCTGTTGGTGCCACAGGTGACCCAAATCCTTGGAGAAGGTGAGTGGAGTGGAGGCTTGTGGGGAAGGATGTTGAAAGGAAATGGTGGTTTTCTGAAGAAGGTAATGAGCGAACTCTCCCAGAATCAAAAGCATAGTAATTTAGGGAATCAAAGGTCACTTTGCATTGGGAATGATTAAAAAAATAAAACATTCATATGGAACAAAGTTTCAGTTTATGAGATGATATTGATTTCTTCTAAAGTAGAAAGCTTTGGAAATATCTTATTTCCTCTTCAACTTTCCAGCCTTCTGGGAAAGTCTCTGTGAAAAGAATGGTAGGGAAGAGGTATGGCAAATGAATTACGAGACAGCATTACAGAATGATTTCTCACCTTTAGCGTAAAAGTTCATCTGTTCATCCATTCACGCTTTTTAAGTGCTTACTTACAGTTATTTGACAGGTTCTACACCAGACGCTGAGGACGATAGGATCATGAAAAGTGAATATGGAAAGCACAGAGGAACTGCTAACCTGGCATCGGTGGCCTCCAGGAACTGCCAATTATAATGTAAGTGTGTCAGCGGCTGCCACTGAGGGTTTACGGGTGTACAGGATTAGAAGTGTGAAATCCATGTGAGTGGTATGGTGAAGGTCAACAGGATTCAAGCTCAGGATGAAAAAACAAGCAATCAAGAGTCTTTGTGATGTTGGGAAATCACTTAAATTTTCTGTGTCTCAATGTCTTCATTTGCAAAGTTGGGATAGTAATAGTAGCTGTCTCCTAGGATTCTGCGTTTTTTTTTTTTTTTTTCTTTTTAAGAGTTAATGAAATGAGGGGCTAGCATTGTGGCATAGTGGGTAAAGCCACAATCTGCTGATCAGCATCCCATATGGGCACTGGTTTGTGTCTCAGCTGCTCCACTTTGCATGCAGCTCCCTGCTGATGGCCTGGGAAAAGCAGTGGAAGATTCCCCAAATGTTTGGGCCCTTGCCACTTATATGGGAGACCTGGGTGAAGCTCCTGGCTTTGACCTGGCCCATTGCTTGCTGTTGTGACCATCTGAGGAGTGAATGTAAGATCTCTCTTTCTGTCTCTCCATCTCTCTGTAACTCTGACTTTCAAATAAATAACTTTTTTTAAACAAAAGAATAAGTGAAATAATTAAAAATATTGGAATTATGCCTTCATGAGTATAATAATTAAAACTTATTGCAATTATAGTAGAAAAAAGATTAATTTCTAATTCTGCTGATTCTTCATGCTTGGGCTTCTCATGTTGTACCTAGGTAGTATTCTACTGGTATCATGAAGTGGCAGGACCATCTACAGAAAGCTAGATGATCATTGCTGTTGCAGAGAACTTCCTGAGAAGATTTAAGTCTGTTTAATGATGAAGAGAATGTATAAGGTAGCTCTTGTTCTTTTGCTTAACAATCCTTGAACTGAATCAGAGTGCCCATATTTACTGAGTCATTATGATTACATTTTATATTTTTCCTGCTTATCCTAAAGCAAAGCAATTGATTTTCTCCGAACTCAAGTAAAATATATAAAAAGAATGAAATTGATAAAGATCATTTTCTTTTTTAAAGAAAATAGTTATTTTTATTAAATATTAAATACATCAAATAAATGTTAAACATTTATTTGAGAGAGAGAGATATAGATAAGGAGAAAGAGAGAGAGAGAAATTTACCATTGATTAGTTCATCTCTCCAAATGGCCGCAGACAGGATTAGGCCAGGCTGAAGCTAGGATCTGGGGAATGAATCCAAGTCTTCCAGAAATCACATGATGCCTCCCAGGGTACATATTAGCAAGAAACCAGAATCAGAAACAGAGCCCAGGACTCAAACCCAGGCACTTTGATATGGGATGAAGACATCCTAAACAGCCTTTTAACTGCTATGCCCAACAACCATCCAAGCACTGTCATTTTCAAACTGGTGGTTTGGAGCCAATGCTGGGTTCTGAAATCAATTTAAATTTTCATGAGAAATGCTTTTCTTAGATAGCATGTAATAGTGAGAATTGTTTCTTAACTTTTATTTTCATTATTTAAAAAAGTTTACTTGAGAAGCAGGGAGACAGAGAAGAGAGAACTCCCATCTTTTGGCTAACTTTCCAAATGCCACAACAGCTAAGGCTGGGTCGGGGTCCAAATGGAGAGCTAGAAACTCAACCCAGGTCTTCCATGTGGGTGACAAGAACTCAGTCACTCTACTTATGGCTGCTGGATCCAAGATTCTGCACAAGCAGAAAGCTGGAATCAAGTCAGGCCTTTCAACTTGGGAGGTGGGTGTCCCAACTAGCATGTTAACCACATGGCCAAATGACCACCACCTATTTCTTACCTTTAGTTTCATTTATACATATAAGTAATAATATAATTATGGACATTGAAAATAGTGCCCTATATTGTTCTAAGAGTTTTATATATGAAATCTCAGTTAATTGTCAAAATGATTCCAACAGGTAAATCTTCTTACTACTCAATTTGCAAATGAGGAAATCATGGTATTAAATTACTTCTCTGAGGACTGAATTTGAAAAATTCAAGACCTAGGATCCAAACCTGGAAACCTGAATCTACAAGTTATGAAGAACTTGGTTATCATGTAAAATCATGTCTAACTGTGGGTCTGAATGGAAAGAGTTTGAAAATCACTATGATAAAGAGAAGATAAGCAGCCCCTACTCCAGCTGCCTGGGCAAGTGGACTTTCTTGTTAGAATTTCAGTCACCTTGGCAATCAAAGCCAGTGTCAATGTTCAGACCACTCCTGAGTTGTAGCCAAATGATTTAATCAATTTAAGACTGAAAAAAGGAGGGAAATATATGCAAAAGAAAAAAATACCAGTCTTCAAGGGCATGCTTTTAGGGAAAATGGCAGGGATATGCAGAACTTAAAGATTCAATTAGTGTCATTTGTAAATCATTGTTTTAGACAATAAACATTTACCATACACCTATGTTTTGTAGGGAGAAAAGAGAAATCAAAGAATCCCAGGCCGGCGCCGTGGCTCAATAGGCTAATCCTCCCCCTAGCGGCGCCGGCACACTGGGTTCTAATCCCGGTCGGGGCGCCGGATTCTGTCCCGCTTGCCCCTCTTCCAGGCCAGCTCTCTGCTGTGGCCCTGGAAGGCAGTGGAGGATGGCCCAAGTGCTTGGGCCCTGCACCCTCATGGGAGACCAGGAGAAGCACCTGGCTCCTGCCTTCGGATCAGCGCGGTGCGCCAGCCGCGGCAGCCATTGGAGGGTGAACCAACGGCAAAGGAAGACCTTTCTCTCTGTCTCTCTCTCTTTCTCTCACTATCTACTCTGCCTGTCAAAAAAAAAAAAAAATCAAAGAATGCCTAGTTTTTAATGAATTTATAGTCCAATTAGAAAGGGAAGCTAACACAAAATATGAATTTCCATATCACCTTATAATTTCAGTGATAGAAATATGAAGAAATGCAGTGAGCTGTTCAGTGGCCACCAATTTGGTCTGAAGGATCAAAAAAGCACGTGGACAAACTGATTTTTGACCTAAATCTTGAGAGGAGAAAGAGGAAGGGGGTAATTCAAGCTGAGGGAAGAATGTGTACAACAGATTAAAGGAATGAGAGGGTAGAGCATATTAATTGAAGTATGATTTGTTCTAACTTACTCACTGCCATATTTCCTAGTAATAAGGGAGTCTTTGGAAATAAATGTTGTATATTTTTCTACAGCATTCTAATAACTGAAGATATGCTGAACCTTGCCAAAATAGCTGCTTTCCTGGATACTCTATTGAGTGTCTGTAATTGAATAGTGTTGCAGCTGGAAAAAGAAAATGTCTACAATATCATGCCTGTTTCTAAAAAATTCTGGCTGAATTGGCTTACCTAAGGGGTTAGCATACTTCAAAGACTGAAGCAGTTTGTATTGATTGACTTACTGCCTTTCAAGAGAGGTGCTATAGGCTGCAACCTGAAACCTTCCTCTCTCGTATCAATTAAATTATGTCAAGTGTTCACCAGCTCTCCAGGGCAGAACAAGCAGATCTTCTCCTCCTTCTAGACATAGACTGTCCCATCCAGGACCTGGGCGTGCTGCTAGGACCTCACGTAATTTGCAAACAGGCAGAGTGGATAGTGAGAGAGAGAGAGACAGAGAGAAAGGTCTTCCTTTTTTGCCTTTGGTTCACCCTCCAATGGCTGCCAAGGCCAGCGCACTGCGGCCGGCCCATGGTGCTGATCCAAAGGCAGGAGCCAGGTGCTTCTTCTGGTCTCCCATGTGGGTGCAGGGCCCAAGGACTTGGGCCATCCTCCACTGCACTCCTGGGCCACAGCAGAGAGCTGGCCTGGAAGAGGGGCAACTGGGACAGAATCCGGTGCCCCACCGGGACTAGAACCTGGTGTGCCAGCGCCACAGGTGGAGGATTAGCCTATTGAGTCGTGGTGCCGGTCATGGACATAGACTTTTAGAAACATGTTTCAACATGCAACATTAGTTTCTGGCAACCAAAGTTTAGTATAATTCATAGCAATTCAGAGTTGTTTTGTTTGCTTGCTCATTCTAAAAAAACACAATTGATTCCTTGCTTGGAAGAGCAGGGAGGTAGGGTCATTTATATAATGTAAACAAAAGTCTTGGAGTGTCTCATAAAAAAAAAAAAAAAAAAACTTGAGCATCTCATAAATTGCCTGGGTGACAATTTAATTTTCTGTGCCTCAGTTTCCTTATCCATGAGAGAATTAGAATAATTGACTTGTTCTGGTTTTACACATTTGACTTTAGGTTTATTTTAGAGAACCACAATCATCTTGAGAACCAAAGAGAAAAGATGTTTAAGATTCAGGTAGCTCAGTCATAGCATAGCACCTTCCTCCACTCATCATTTTGGGGAACTAAAATGGAAGCCAGTCTCTTCTCTTGATGGACACAGCTGGTATTCAGGAGCTGGACTAGGAAGTTTGACCCTCTGGTTGTACCCAGGGATTTCATCACAGCCGTTAACACTACACTGCCTACCTTGACTGGCAGCTTAGAAGGCCATTGTATTTGACTTCTCTGTGCTGCCTTTGTTACATTGTGGAAAAGTACCCAAACTCTTGGGTGTCAAAGGCTTAATGCCATTAGCTAGTGCACTATTTGTGGCGACTTAAAGCTGCATAAAGGAACAGAGCAGAAAAACCCACATGCTGGCAAAGACTTAAGCTCCTGCAGATCTTTAAATTCACTGTACACATGTAGATGAGTCCCCTTGAGAGTACAGGATAAAGCCACATCTTCAGAGATAACTATTATAGTTACCCATGGGCTTCCTGTTCTTATAGAGTATATTTTAATTCAAGGGAAAAGCAGAGCTCTACTGGCCTAATGATGTGTATTTTATGATTTTTTCATTGTAAGCTCACATCTTCTATTGGTTACTCACTTAACTGAGGTTAAGGAAATGCTGAATCCTGCCCCTGTGCTGTTGCTATAGTGATTCCTGAGAGATAAAAGCCAGGCATGGATTCAGGTGAAATTTTTATCATACTAATGTTTAAATTATTTATGATTTTTAATTTATTTATTAAGATATCTGAAATCTGGGAGGCTAAAGCACTACTTTCCCAATTACCTTTGCCTTTTTGTCTTCACAGGTGTATGCACACAGGTGTCTTCAGCAAGGGTGACTCACTTGCTTTTTTTTTAATTCCCAGGTGAGAATTGCTGAGCCATGGTGCAGGCACAGAACAGCTGAAGAGACTGCTTTTTTTGGGGGGGCTGAGCTTAACCTTCTATTCTTTGATGAGATTGACCTAATTAAAGGGATATTTCAAATGTTTATTTCTCCTTTCCTACTTGGAACACTGGCCAAATATTTTTTAACCATAATAACTCTACTTTGGAAGCTTGGCTTTGCTTCTAATTCAATTTTATAAGGGATGTCTTCATCCAACTTTGCCGATGCACCATGAGTATATTTCCATCCCTACGTTTCAACACAAACTAAACTAACCTGTGGGTGATGAATCAGGAATTTGGTGTTATGCCAAATTACCATGAAAGAACAAAGATACGGAAATGAAGTAGATGGAGATAAGCAGAATGGAAGGTTTGGCTGGATAGTAGTGGAAAGACAGATTATCACGTGGGAAGGGCAAACTTGGCAGATTCTCCTCAGCTCAGGATTGCATAGACCAGGCTCCGAAAAATGTTTTCTATAATGCTACAGAGAAGGCATATTTTTGGTTCTGCAGCACAAACCATTCATTGTAACTATTAAGTTCTGCCACTTGAGCACAAAAGTGATGTAGGCAGGGAGCTAGCAAAAGCAGGGAAAAGCTGAAGTTTACCAGCCCTGGCTGCCCCACCTGCCAGCCCTGGCCGTTGGGACAGCCCAGTCAGCACTGCTCAAAACAGCGCCCGTCCCCAGCATCTGCATTGTCTAACCCCAGCCTCTGCCAACGGCCTACACCTCCCTTTCTGTGCACTGCCAATTTCCCCCAGTTCTTTGTCATGGAAACTGTAGCATCCCTGATTTTGCAACTTAGAACCAGTGCCAACGAGAAATACTCAATAAGGCTGCAGGCCATGTCCCCAGGATGGCCTTTAGGTAATTATAATAAAATCCCACGGCCAACACTCCCATACTATCATGCACATGACTCCATGATGCTTCGGAAATTTCCATAAAAGGGCACAGAAATGGGAGGTACTCAAGCCTCACCCCAAACTCTGACCTCTTTAAATTTTCAGTTAAGCCCTGGCCCAGATACCACCCCTAGTCTTTCAAGTCATAGAAAAGGGCAGCCCCAAACCTTGTTGACTGCAGCTCATGCTCTCCTGACCTTGCCTATACTCATTCTTAAGTACGCAATTTTGCTCTAAACAAATCTTGCTTCTCTGTTCAGCTGTGCTTATGTCTCTTCCTTGAATTCCTTCTTATGTGCAGAGAACTAGGACCAAGCATAGGCAAGGGCCACTCCACAACAAAAAGCAGTCAGACTATATGTAAGTGAATCACAGTTGTGTTCCAATAAAAATCTATCTATGAAACAGGAAATTAGACTCTCATATGATTTTGTATCACAATATATTATACTGTTCTTTTAATTTTTTTCTCCCACTCAATAGTGTAAAAACATATTTTTAGCTCATAGGCCACTAAAATAATAGGCAACAGAGGCCAACAGGCTGCTGTTCACAGACCTCTGGCATATACTATGAAGAGAATCAGGGGTCAGACTGTCTATGCTTAACTCCTGGAACTTTCCTTTCTAGCTGTTTTCACTTGGGCAGTTGATTGATTCATGACTTGGTTCCCCTGATGTGTACAAGGAAGTTGGCGTTACTACCTGTGCATGGAGGTTTTTGAGGGTGAAAGTAGAGGGAATCTGTAAACTGATCAGAATTGTTCACTAACAGGCGTAATTAGTAACTACAGGAACCTCCGCACACTATGGAAGATGCCGGATCATCATGGGACTAACTGAAATAGCAAGACTTTACCCGCTTGGAAAGAACAAATACAACTCAGAGTGAAGATACAAACACGCTTCCTTTGTTTGGCAGTCACCAAAACAACGCCAGTTTCCTTTCGCCCACCTGCCGCTGGCCAACAGCTCCCGACCACCATCTCTATCCCGCTGAAGATAAATGACTCCCTGTGGAAACAGATGTTTGTGTTCTGTGTGCCGGCACCTTCTGTCTCACAAAACTTAATCATTTTTATTTGCCTTTCACAGCAGTTTCTAAGTGTTGACATGGTGATTCCAGGACCAGTCTCATCATTTTGAGATCTTATAACGGGCACTTTTTTACACCTCATAAATCCAGAGAGGCAAATATTCTCCCTTGAATGTTATACAGCTGTTGGGCAGCAGAGAATGGCCCTCTCAGAGCTGTTGGTGAATTAGAGGGTTTTTAAATTTTTTAAATGTTATTGGTTGTTTCCTCTCCTCATTTATCTGTTCCCATTTATTTCTGGCCTCTGTCCCTTTAGGAAAGCTTGAAGCTGAGAATTTTTGTTTTTGAAGGGAAGTGTGGA